TTGACCACAGCTGCCTCATTGGCTCCGGTGTAGCCCTTGTCATTTCGTTCCTCGCTGCTAACTTCAGGTTGCACCAGTGCGTCCACCTGTGAACCTCCATCATCAGCTGCTGCGGAGACCTGCGCCCCATTGTTGCAGTCGCCCGTGGAACGTACCACCACATGCACCTCAACCCGTGCTTGCTTCGCACTCCAGGTAATATCTGGCGCATCAACCCGCGCATCATTGGCGCTCCAGGCCTCATTTTTCAGATCATCCGTGTCTCCAGCTATTCCAGAAGCTTCTTTTTCCCCTTGAATGGCAGAATTCTTGGCACCAAACGAAGAGACCTCCTCAGTCGTAACACACAACTTTTTCTCTCCATCCTCCGAATCTCCAGGACCACCTTCCTGAACAACAGGTACCACATCCACCACTCGCTCTTCTGCAGCCGACACAGTTCCGATCACCTCATTGGGCATTTTCTCTTCTGGATCCACCAATTCCATCGCTGCCCCACCCTCAGAAAGCGCTTCTGTTTCTTCCCGATCCAGGTGTTGAGCTCCAGCGATGTTGGCTTGGTTCCCAGGAATCCCTTCCTCATCAGGAGAACCCGGGGTCGGGGCGTCACCATCAGCCCTAGGACCGCTATCCCTGATAGTAGAGGAAAAATCTTTTTCACCTAAACTATTTACACTACCCTGGAATGCCCTCGTAGACTCAGTCTTCGGAGTAGAGGATGAAGAATCCAGTGCCGCCTCCATTTCCAGCTCATTGCTCATTGCAAAGGAGACCCAACCACCTCGTCACTCTTCACCTTTTCACCTACCACCGGCAATGTCCACTTGGTTTCGTGCGTATCCAGGCAGTAATAATATTGTCTCCCATCTTCATGGAGGTGCAATTCCCACATTGTGCCATCACACGCTTGGATCAGATGCTCGTCTTTCCGAAAACCGTCCCTTTCAGAAACCTGTCGCATCTCGTCCTCTTCTTCTGACAGCTGTCGCAACCGTTCAGCCTCCATCTGTAGGATCTCCTCCTCCCCCATGGCGTATTCAGCAGCAGGTGCAGCTTCAAAGCCGTCCGCACCCTTCTGTTTGTGACCGCTTCCACCACCTTGGGAACTCGAAGATGGACCCTTTTTGATCTTGTTCAACGGCCTCCTGGTCGCTTGTAGCACTTCTCCAATCAGATCGGTCTGAGACTCTTGGTCTACCATTCGACCCGAAGTCGAAGACGACGGCTGGTACCCGTGTTTGTGTAACACTCGTAAAACAGTCACCTCCATTTCACGATCTATGCCACCAGTCGCATCCCAGTTCCTTTTTTCACCAGGCTTTGGCGGTACAGAAACAGCACGTCCTTCAGCTTCAGCATTGCTAACCATATCCCTATTGGGATTCATACCCGCATTGGGGCTTTCTGCAACCAAGGCCTCTTCCAGATGTACTTCAGCGTCGGGAATCACCTCTTCCAACACCGATCTTTCACCCAGAGACTCAGCTGCACCATTTCCAGCTCCACCATCTTGTCCACCATCCGAGGCAAGTTGGAGCCATCGCTTCGGAGAAGGCATTGCTTCTTGATCCCAAAACCTTGAAAGAACACTTAACCGCAGGGAACCTAATTTGGGCTCATAACCTACGGGGGGACAACCAAGGAAGGAAATCAACTCCCCTAATCGCCCTGAACTTATATTTCCCAGATCGAACCAAGAAACAACCAAGAACACGGATAAGAGCAACCCAGGGGGGAAGGAAAGGGGGAAGGAATCCACACCCTTACCAAACCCTAAGAACCCAGGCACTACTTTTTGAACTTGTGGCTTTCTGTTCAAGCCCATCTTGAGCCAAATACGATTACCGGGTTCATTAACCCTTCCAACTTCCAACACTAACTCCTTTCTACAATACCAATTGCAGCTCCGCATAGGGTTCAGGGTTCAGGGGGTGAGCATAAGCGGCACTTTGCAGGTTGGAAGTAGGGTTATAAGTCTGTACGAGTATGCATGTGTGTATATCTATAATTACGCATTTGTACACACATATATATATATGGTCACCCCCCCCCCCCCCCCCCCCCCCCCCAATGGACCCACCGCGGGCCTTGATCTTTGCAAAAGTACCGCAAATACCGATAAAACCTATGCTGTCTGGGGATTTTCCGGTGACCGGTTTTTTGACTGTATTCCTTAATTCACTCTCTCACACACACACGGAGGGTTTCTCTTTCTGTTGGCTTTTTGTTTACAATTTAAGATTTAGGCATGTAAACCTAAGCCCGCAAAAAAACCCTTAACCTTTAAACCCTGTAGGGTTGAGGTTTCAAGGTTAAGGGTTTAAGATTTAGGCATTTGAACCTATGCCGGCAATTAAACCCTAAGCCCTTAACCTTTGAATTCTATAGGGTTAAGATTTTTACAGGTTTAGGGTTTAAGATGTAGGCATTTAAACCTAAGCCTGCAACTAATTTTAAACCCTTAACCTTTAAACCCTGCAGGGTTAAGGTTTAAATGCTTAGGGTTTAAGATTTAGCCATTTAAACCTGTAGCCAAGCCCTTAACCTTTAAACCCTGTAGGGTTAAGATTTTAAAGGTTTAGGATTAACATTTAAGCATGTAAATCTCAGACTTCAATTCATTTTAAACCCTTAACCTTTAAACCCTGTTGGGCTAAGGGTTAAAGGTTTCGGGCTTAAGTTTTAGGGATTTAAACCGATTCCGGCAATTAACGCTAAGCCTTTAACCTTAAAACCCTATAGGGTTAAGATATTTAATGGTTTAGGGTTTAAGTTTAAGGTTTAGGTATTTAGACCTATGCCGGCAGTTCATATTGAACCCTTAACCTTAAACCCTATAGGGATAAGATTTAAAGGTTTAGGATTCTTTACTTAGACATTTAAATCTAAGTTTGCAATTAAACCGAAACCCTTAACCTTTAAACCCTATAGGGTGAAGGTTTAAAGTTTTAGGGTTTAAGATTCAGGCATTTAAACCTAAGACGGCCCTTAACCTTTAAACCCGATAGGGTTAAGGTTTAAAGGTTTGGGGTTTAAGATATCAGCGTTTAAACCTAAGTATGTAATTAATTTGTCACCCTTAACACCCTTAAACTTTGTAGTGTGAAGGTTTAAAGGTTTAGGGTTTAAGATTTAGACATTTAAACCTAAGCCCATAGAGTTTAAACCTTAAGGGCTAAGGTTTAGGCGTCTATTCCTTAACCCTAAACTCTCTAGATTCAGGACCCTAAAGCCCTCGGCAATCAAGCCTAAACCCTTGACCTTCAAACCCCATAGGATGAAGGTTTGAAGGCTTGCAGTTTTAAGACTTAGGCATTTAAACCTAGAGGGCATTTAAGCCTTAACCCTAAACCCTTCAGGGTCAGAAGCTTAGCACCCTGTAGGGATCTAGCACCTGCAGGTATACATCGGTTTTTAAACCAGTACACCCTGTAAGAAGGTTTAGGGTCTTTTCGGTGTCTATCTCTAAATCTTTCACGGGGTTAACCTTGCAGGGTTTAAAGTTAAAGGTTTAGGATTCAAGGTTTAGGCAATACCTAAAGGATTAGAACCTTATAACCCTATACTGCTTGAGGCTTAAACCCATAAAACTTAAATTTGTAGGGTTATGCCTAAGTTTCACAAAAAAGCCAAAAACCAAAAAAAAAAAAAAAAAAAATCCAAAACCATGGGGCTGGGGCCTCCAAAAGATGGTTTTTTTTGTTTGCTCGAGAAAAAGATGGTTTTTTGGTTCGAAACAATCTTTTTCTCGAGAAAAAGATGGTTTTTGGAGGTGTTCTCCTGGTAAAACCATCTTTTTCTCGAGACAAGATGGTTTTTCGAAGGATGGTTGCTCAAAACCATCTTTTTCTCGAGAAAAAGATTGTTTCGAACCAAAAAACCATCATTTTCTCGAGAAAATAAAAAACCAAAAAAAAACCATCTTTTCCAAAACTATGGGGCTGGGGCCTCCAAAAGATGGTTTTTTTTTTGTTTTCTTGAGAAAAAGATGGTTTTTTTGGTTCGAAACCATCTTTTTCTCGAGAAAAAGATGGTTTTTGGAGGTCTTCTCCTGGTAAAACCATCTTTTTCTCGAGAAAAAGATTGTTTTTCGAAGGATGGTTGCTCAAAATCATCTTTTTCTCGAGAAAAAGATTGTTTCGAACAAAAAAACCATCTTTTTCTCGAGAAAACCAAAAAAACCAAAAAAACCATCTTTTCCAAAACTATGGGGCTGGCGCCTCCAAAAGATGGTTTTTTTGGTATTTTTGGTTTTCTCTAGAAAAAGATGGTTTTTTGGTTCGAAACAATCTTTTTCTCGGGAAAAAGATGGTTTAGAATCTTTTTTCTCGAGAAAAAGATGGTTTTGCCAGGAGAACACCTCCAAAAACCATCTTTTTCTCGAGAAAAAGATGGTTTCGAACCAAAAAAACCATCTTTTTCTCGAGAAAACCAAAAAAACAATCTTTTGGAGGCCCCAGCCCCATAGTTTTGGAAAAGATGGTTTTTTTGTTTTTTGGTTTTGGTTAGTTTCTTGTTTTGTTGTTTTTCCCTTGATCTGGCTAGGACTCGGCTGCCACCCGCGGTGGGTCCATTGGGGGGGGGGGGTGAGCATATATATATATAAAGGTACAGCTATAGCTATGCTACACATAGCCCGCTTAGAACTGCCCATGAATCATGAACCTTCGAGTGAGGCTGAGATACTGGGTTCCATCCTTACCGATTGCAGCCTCACTAAGCCCAAAAACCCTAAACCACATATGTATACATACAACAACCTGGAAAACTGGGAGACAAGAGTGGGCCCCTGAAGGGCTGGGCAAGTTGGAGGCCTAGGGGCGCGCATTCGGGGGTCTAAGTCTACTTGTGGGTGAAAGGCTCTTGGGGTTTCAAGGTCATTTGAGGTGGTTCGGCTCCCCTGCCCTCGCCCCCGAAGCCTTCGGGATCTTCCGGTAGGGTTCAGAGTTTTGGTGCCTCAACCGCAACCTCCCCGCCCCCCCAAAGCCGCAAGATCGAGCCTGTAGTTGGTACGCATAGACTACGAGCCAGCCTCAGCAAGGCTCGGCCGGCAAACCCGAACTTTGGCATTTTGGGTTTGAAGGGTTCCTCAACCCTGAACCCCCAAACCCAAAACCCAAAACCCTGAACCCAAAACGCTAAACCCAAAACCCTAAACCCAAAACCCTCAAACCCTAAACCCTAAACCCTAAACCCTAAACCCTAAACCCTAAACCCTAAACGAACCTCTTATTGGAGTCAAGGCCCTAAACCCAAAACCCCAAGTGTACAGTAGCTCCCATGTGCACTGATGCTGTCGCTCTCTCCGTCTGCCAAATATGCTTCGGGTTTAGTTTAGTGCTTTAAGGTATATTTTCCTTTCCCCCGAATGTTGAAAGCCCCTTTATCATGGGAGAGTAGAGAATATTCGGGGGAAGAGGAGTCATTTCTGTTGCTGATTGACACGCTACCTTTCGCGAGCAAGCCGACTGCAGCCTTATGGATAAAACGCGCCCTGAACGTCCCAACGCCCCAAAGCCTGAACCCATAACGCCCACCCCAAACTACAAGACAAAGCCCCAAAACCCAAAGGCCCTAAACCCCAACACCCAAACACCCCCCCCCCCCCCCAACGGCCCAAAAACCCTAAACACGAATTAAAACCCAAAACACACCAAAACCCCGAACCCGCAACCTCAACGCCCCAAACTCTAAACCTCAAAGCCTCAACGCCCCAAAACCTCACAACCCCAAAATCCCAACACCCACCCCAAAACCTCACAATCCCATATCCACCCCCCAAACCCTAAACCCTAAGCCCTAAACCCAAAACACAAAACCCTCAACCCTAAACCCAAAACCCTGCCCCCCTCCCTCCCCCGGCCCCTCTGGGGCTCAAGGGCCCAGGAGCGCCGCCAGAAATGCCGCAAAGGGCTGAGAGCCGGCGGAGCCCTCGCGCTCATCGTCATGTGATAACATGAAAAATTGAATGACGGAAAGTAAGAATAAGAATTGTAGTAAGAATACGAATAATTGTGTTAATAATGATAAGAATATTAAGAGGAACAGTAACAACAATAATACGATTAATCATACTGAAATGGGGCAGTGCCCCGAGCCGCTGGTTGATAGGTGGCTTGCAAACGCATGATGCCATTCGGCCGGCGAAGGAGGAGAGTGCAACATGGGTGCAACATGCATGGTGTTAGGGTTTAGGGTTTAGGGTTCAGGGTTTAGGGTTCAGGTTTAGGGTTTAGGTTTAATTAGGGTTTAGGGCTTAGGGTTTAGAGTTTAGGGTTTAGGGGAGTCTGCACATTCGAAATGGGATGCCCCACTAGGTCTCTACTCTACACGCTGTGGAAACATGCCCCCCTCTTCCGCCCAAGTTGACTGGAGGCTGGTGCCCCGCACCACCAAACAAAAGAAAGAGAAGGAGCCACCCCTAAAACCTAAACCCTAAACCTAAACCCCTAACCCCAAACCCCGAACCCTACCATCCAATTCCACAAGGCCCCGGCCGCCAAGGCGACGAGGAGGCAAATGAATGATGCCAGGCCCAACCTTAACTTGGAGCTTCGTACGGGGTAGGGTTAGGGTTTCGGCACCGAAGCGCTAAAGAAGCAGAGGCAGCAATTTCACAGAATATGCACTCATATCCTGTACTTTGGGATGTTCACCCTTTATACTAACACTTAGGGGTTTAGGGTTTAGGGGTAACAGTCGTTAAGAGGGTTTCCGAAACTAGGGATACCCCCCAAACTGGCACAGCCCGCTCTTCATCCTCCTTTTTCCAGTACTCCTCCGCACATCTAGTTGGCTTCCGCGCTTTGTTCCCAGAACCCCTTAAACCCTAAACCCTAAAACCCCAAACCCCCAAAACCCTAAACCCTAAACCCCAAACCCTAAACCCTAAACCCTGAACCCCCAAACTCGGAATCACACACGCAGCTGTGCTGCAGCCCAGGAACGCAAGGAGAAACACCTGCTGCCACTGAAAGCTGTCGGCGACACCTGGCTGCCAGCAACAAAGGGGGATTTTGGCTCTATAAGGTTTAGGGTTTAGGGTTTAGGGTTTAGGGTTTAGGGTTTAGGGTTTCGGGTCTCTAAGCCCTGAGCCCTAAGCCCTAAGCCCTCAACCCCAAACACCGAAACCCCAAGTCCAGATCCATGAGTATGTCGCAAGTAAGAGGTCCAGTCGCGGCAGTGCATTCCGCTTGTGTTCCAATCGGGCCAATTTTTTGCGGCTTATATACCTTAATAGGAATTGTAGTAGTGTAGGGTTTATGACCCCAATTTTAGGGGTCATTTGGTCCCCAAGGATTGTGCCAAGGTTCAGGGTGTGCAGGGTTTAAGGTTAGGGGGTTGTATGCATGGTTTAGGGTTTAAGGTTGTCGGTTGAGGATTTGGGTTTGCGGTTCAGGGCTTAGGCTACCCTAAGCCCGGAACTCAAAGCCCCGAATCTTCAACTATCTAGTGCAATCTCCTCGAGGAGTCGGATTTCGAAATAAAGAATTCTGCCAAAGACGAACCACTACAGCCAAGGACCAGGATCAGGTGCCTGAGCCATAGGGTTTAGGGTTTGGGGTTTGGGGTTTGGGGTTTGGGGTTTGGGGTTTGGGGTTTGGGGTTTAGGGCTTTGGGTTAGGGTTCAGGGTTTAGGGTTTAGGGTTTAGGGTTTAGGGTTTAGGGTTTAGGGTTTAGGGTTTAGGGTTTAGGGTTTAGGGTTTAGGGTTTCGGGTAACATTCAGGATTAAACCGCCGTTGTGTGACACAGGAACCCTTCGCACCCCTCGAGATTCTGAAGCGGAAAGCCCAGTACATCCTGATTTTCGAACCCGAAAGCCTCAACCCTGAATCCCTATCCCCCAAACCTTTAGGGTTTAGGGTTCAGGGTTAAACCCTAGCTCTAAACCCCTACCCTCTTAAAATTAAACCCCTACACCCTACGTAAACCTTCTTAAGCCCATACTGTACCCTGCCCAAGCGTGTGGCGGCCCACGTCGTCCTTCCCGGAAGACGTCCTCTGCACAGCCATGCAAAAGAATTGGGTGGAGGGATGTCCTAAACCCTAAACCCTAAACCCTAAACCCCTAAACCCTACACCCTAAACCACCCTTAACCCAAAACCCTGAAACGAAGGGCTCCTCCGGAACTAAACTATGGGGTGGTATGGGGTTGAGTAGGGTTTAGGCGGTTTAGGCCTGGGGGATGAATACCCTAGCCCAAAAAGAGTTAACACCTTTCATTGCTGGTAGAAATATGTCTGACCAAAAAGGTGATAACTACCCAGCCCCTAAGGTTTAGGGTTTCGGGTTTAGGGTTTCGGGTTTAGGGTGCGTATCAGTGTATGCGCGCGGGGAATGCGCCTTTTCCTTATATTTAGAGTGCGTGAGCCCCAAGAACCACTTTTAGCGTTCCCCCCAAACGCCTCTAGCAAGGAAGCTTTCTTGGGTTTTCCGCGTTCAGGAGGTCCCAGAAGGGTCCCCGGAATTTTACGGGGAGGCACAAAGGGTCCAGGTCAGAAAAAACAAACTGAGCTGTCAGGCAGAAATCGCCCTCTTCAGGGGCCCAAGGCAGTCAGGCACAACCCTAAGCAACCCCGATGGATCCTTTCTTGTGGTGCTTTCGGCCCAATACTGTGTGCTTTGGGAGGGGCTCAAGTAAACTTGCCCTAAACCGCAACCTTAACACCCTGCTCCCTAAATCCCCGAAACCGAACAGCCCCAAACCCCTTACAAAAAAAAAAAAATCAAAAGCCAGACCAAACCCAAAACAACCCCACACCCCCCAAAGAAACAGAATAAAAACCAAAAACCTAAAACCTAAAACCTAAACCCTAAACCCTGGGAGTCGCCTTCGCCACGGCCCTCGCCGCCCTGGCCGCTTCACGCAGGCGCCTGAGGTGGGGCGAGGTTATAGGGTTTAGGGTTTAGCGGGCTTGGGGCGTGTATAGGGTGTAGGGTTTGAAGCCTGGGAGGCTAAAAGGGTGAAGAGCTGGGCTGTTTTTTTGGGCTTTTAAGGGTTTAGGGCTTAGGGGTTTTAGGGGGGGGGGGGGCGTTTCAAGAGAGAACTTGATTTAGGCTTTGGGGTGGTTTAGTTCTCAGGCTAAAGGGATCCGTGTTGAGAACCTTGGGCCGGTTCGGGGCTCCTCATGGGGGTATCGTCGGCCTTCTGGGCAATTCAGGGCATGGGGATGCCGCAGGTTTCCGGGTGGGGGATGTTCCCCCGTATACAGTTCTTAGTATGGGGACTGTCATCGGGGGTACTACAGTCCTGCTTCAGGACTGTTACGAAAAGGGGGAACATCCCCACTTACGGCTTTTTGGGCTCGGGGGGGGGGCGAAGGGCTTAGGGCTGAGGACTTGGGTTGAAGGACCCCAAACTTCAGAGTCCGAGAACCTAAGTCACGACCCACACCTAAGTACCCCAAGTACCCCGCCCCCCCCCCCCCCCCCCTTATACAAACAACTAAACTCTCTGCGCCCTGAACCCTAAACCCTGAACCCTCAACCCTAGACCCTATAGGGTTTAGGGTTTATAAACCCTGAACCTTAAACCCTAGTCGATCCTTTCTGCGCTCGGCCTCTGTACAAGTACGCGCGCCTCAGGGGGCCCTTTGGCGTAGCCCTTGTCTGCAGGTTTAGGGTTTAGGGTTTGCGTTTGGGGTTTAGGGTTTAGGGCAAGCCATGGGGGGACCACTTCCGGTACACGCTTGACCTCCGCGCTCCCATGAACACTCAGGTCCACCCGGGTTCTGCAAAGACTTCTTCCACAGGTGGCAAGCCAAACACGGCACTGCCGCTTGGCTCATTGAGATCTCAATTGGCTGTACATGTGGGTTTAGGGTTTAATGCATGCTTCCATGTCTTCGCCGGCTCTCCACCAAGCTTCTTATCTTCTTGGCCTTCAGACTTCCTTACCACAGCCACCAGCTGGTTCGAGATGCTGGCCAGCTGCTCCTCAGTCTTCTTCTGGCCCTCCTTGATGTCCGACTTCCTGTCGCCCCAGCCCCCTGGGATTCAAGCTTTGGGTCTGAAGGGCATCCTCACAATTAGAACCCTATAAGGGTACTTAAGGGGCTTCTGGGATTCTAAGTGCATCTGTAAATGGCTTACTAAGCACCCTGGAGCTCCGAGCACGGGTCCTTTGTGGACTTCGAGGGGCTGACGCTCTGCAGCAGCCGGGCGACCTTTTCCTTGAAGTCGTTGTCATCCGCCTCCGGAACTTCCGCCGCGTCGGCGAGCCGGAGTGTGGCCTGAACCTCGTAGTAGCCGTCCTCCTGCACCTTAAGAAGGGGGCCCAAAAAAGGAAACCCCAAAATTGGGACCCTGTAGTAAACCCCGAACCCCTAAAGACACTGGAGTTAAGGCCTTAACTTAAAGGGCCCTTAAGGCCTAAAGGACCTAAAGCCCTACATCCTCAACCCTAGCCCTAAAGCCCGCCCTCAAGGGCCTAAAGGCCTTCTTTAGGGCCTAAAGGCCTTCTTTAGGGCCTCTTTAGGCCCTGTTTAGGGCCTCTTTAGGCCCTGTTTAGGGCCTCTTTAGGCCCTGTTTAGGGCTGTTTTAGGGGGGCCTCTTAAGGGCCTAAAATGGCTTAAAGGGCCCAAACGGGCCCTGAATTCTGAACCCAAGGGGCGTGGCCCATGGAGAGGAGCTCGCATTCCTCCAGACCGAAGGACCCGAATGACAGCGACTCGACCGGGCCTGCGAGCACCTGGAGTCTCTTAAAGGCTTTGGGGTCTAGGGCTGGGGGTTTAGGGTTTAGGGTTTAGGGTTTAGGGTTTAGGGTTTAGGGTTTAGGGTTTAGGGTTTAGGGTTTAGGGTTTAGGGTTTAGGGAAGGCCTCAGAACAGTATTCCTGTACATGAAGTCTATAAGGTTTAGGGGGTGGTCCTTTCTGTAAGGCTGAAGGTTTTGGGGGTTAGGGTTTAGGGTTTAGGGTTTAGGGTTTAGGGTTCAGGGTTCAGGGTTTAGGGTTTAGGGTTTTTTGCCCCTCTGAGAAACCCCAGAAAGGGCAAATAACGACAACTCCTCCCAAAGAGGGCCGCGCTTAAGAATCCACCCTAGACCCTAAGCCCGAAGCCCTAAGCCCTAAACCCTAAACCCTAAACCCTAAACCCTAAACCCTCCGAAGAAGGCAAACGAGCAAAACCAACAAATTCCAACCACAGACCCGCTGCAGTCTTTGCCGCGAGGCTCACGTTTTGCCTTGCCATGGGCTGCTTCTGCTTTTCCTTGGGCCGACTTCTCTAGGTGAGCAACTTAAAATTCCTGGTTCTTAGTAGGAAATGAGGGAACTAGGTACCTTACCTTGGGGACGAAATGAACCCTGAAAGGGTTTATGGTTCATATACCTTCATAGGAATTACAGTAGTATAAGGTATAGGACCCTAAATTTTAGGGTTCATTTGGTCCCCAAGGGATAGAACCCCTTAAATGGTATACGCAGGGTGAGATAAGGCATCCAATCCCCTCATGCCCTACGAAGAACCCAGAAGGGCCAGAACTTCAGAATCTGACGGGTCTAGGGTTCAGGCTCAGAAGGAGAGAAAAGCAAGAACAAAAAGAGGGTTTAGTAGGTTTACGGTTTAGGGTTTAGGGTTTAGGGTTTAGGGTCTAGGGTTTCCTACTCAGCACCTGAGTGTCAGCGTTGCTCCCTTTGAAGAGGGTCACGTGGGGAATCGCCTGGCTCGCAGGCTGGGCCGCGAAGGCGAAGGGATCACACGAACCGAGAGCCTTCCTTGGGAACGAAATGAACCCTAAAAGGGCTTATGGTTCATGGTTTATGATTCACATTACCTTAATAGAAAATGTAGTAGTATAGGGTATATCCCTAAACCCTCAACCCTAAACCCTTATGGTTCATATGCCTTAATCGGAATTATAGTAGTCTAGGGTATATGATGGGCTTAGGGTTTATGGGTCATATACCTGAATAGGAATTCTAGTAGTATAGGGTATCATGGTTTATGGTTCACATTACCTTAATAGAAAATGTACTAGTATAGGGTATATCTCTAAACCCTAAACCCTAAAATGACCCCCAAGTTTAGGAGTTCAGTTGGTCCCCAAGGTGCGCGACGCAGAGGCGCAGGTGCTCCGCGAGGGACGCAAGACTGTGGCTGGGCAGGATCGGAGCATACCTTATCGAGTTCATTTAGTGTTGAAAACAAACTATTTAGGGTTTAGGGTTTAGGGTTTAGGGTTTAGGATGTCTATTCCTTATTGGGTTTGGGGTTCTAGTACCCTAAAAAAAGGCCCCCCAAAAGTTGGGATCCTCTTACCCCAAAGATTTTGGAGAACCAAAACTGGTAGAGGGGACTGTCGGTACATGGACTATAAGGACCCTTGGGTCCTCCTTCCAAGGTGCAGCACTCCACCTTGAAATTGGCCCAGCCCTTCGACTCGTAGCTCATGGGGTCCTGAGGGGACCACATGAGCCCCCAAAAGTGTTCAACCCTAAACCCTTAACCCTAAAACCTAAACCCTAAACCCTAAACCCTAAACCCTAAACCCTAATCCTTGTAGTAAAAGGAATGTAGGAGCACAGGGCGTAGCAAGTTAGGGATTTTAGCATCGGGGCAGCCCCACGGTTCGAATTTGGCCCCCCCGCAACCTTGGAAAACCCAAACGAACCCTTACATTGGGGTCATTGCTCCTCTGCTACTCTAACAATGCCTCTATTCAGGTTTATCCCTAAACCCTAAACCCTAAACCCTAAACCCTAAACCCTAAACCCTTTCGGGGCTCATATGGGCCCCCCAAGAATGGCCTTGGCTGCGCCAATCTGCCGCCGCCTGATGCAGCGCCGCCACGGCTTTGGCCACATCGTCAAAGGCCAAGCGGGCCACCAAGACAGTCCTGGTTTAGGGTTTAGGGTTCAGGGTTCAGGGTTTAGCGTGCTGATTGACCAATTCAAAATTCAAAACTGTACTTAGAACTGTACCTATAACTGTACTTATAACTGTACCTATGACCCTATCAGGGCACTCAAGGGGCTTATAATGATAAGTGGGTTATACGTACAGTTACAATTGGTTCCTAAGTACCATGAACCTCCAAGTTGGACTTCTTGAGACTTACATGGACCCCCCACAGTGCCGAAGAGGCTTGCGTCATGGCGCCAACCTGAATAGATAGGCTTTCGGCTAGGAAAGGTTGAGCTAGGGGTTCATCTGCCTTCCAAGACTCACATGGGACTTCTCAATTGGCTCGACGGATTCTTGGAGCCAAGGCTGCTGCTTCAAGATCTCAGACTGTAGGTATCCCAGTCGCCTGCGCACGTGGCATGGCATCCGGACACCAATGAAATGAGTGTTGTGCTTCGGTATCTTTGAGCGGAGCTCGATCATCTTCAGAAGGCACGGGACAGTCGACAGAAGAGCCCGCTTCTCCAGTTGCTCGGCCATGCGGTGCAGGGCAGCCAGCTGCTCTTGTCCGAGAGGTGTGTGGCTGCGTTGCAACTCTCCTAGCTCTTCCTTGTTGGGGACGAAAGGAACCTTAAAAGGGTTTATGGTTCCTATACCTTAAATAGGAATGATAGTTTTTTTGGGGCATATGACCCCCCAATTTTAGGGCTCAGTTAGTCCCTAAGGTTCGTAGGAGTTATAGTAGTAGTTCTCGGGTATATGACCCCAAGTTTAGGAATTCAGTTGGTCCCTAAACCCTAAACCCTAAACCCTAAACCCTAAACCCTAAACCCTAAACCCTAAACCCTAAACCCTAAACCCTAAACCCTTCATTTGGTCCCCAAGGTTCCACCATGCTTCGCAGCTCCTGTGCCAGAGCGTGGGCACTCGGCGGTCTGGACGATGGGTCCTTCGGGATCGGCGTCGCTGGCACCTGCAGACGCCCGGATTCCACCTTCCTCACCTTGCTTTGTTGCTATCAGAAGCTTAGATCAACTGAGTTACCAGGGTTTAGGGTTTAAGGTTTAGGGATAAGGAGGAAATCGCAGTAGTGGCCATACCAACACCATGGTAGCCCAAAAAGGATTCTTAACAGCTGCCACGTCACCAGGGAGATGACCGTCTCTGCCGTCTGCTCCACTTGCTCAGCTAACTGCCAAAGTCCCTTCCTAGCAGCTTCTTGGATTCTAGGAAAAAGTAAATTCCAAGCCCCTTGTTATCTAAGGCTCATCAGGGAACCGAGTCCCCTAAAGGGACAACAAAGGGGGCTGCGCCGGAGGGGGAGTCCGAGCTGCCGTTGCTCGAGGTCGGGAGCTGCGGCCACGCCCCGCAGTTCCCCGGCCAACCGCTGGAACTCCCTGGTCACAGTTCGTCCGTTTGGCTGCTTGCCAAGCTGCTTCAGCGGTTCCAGCCCAGCCATGGCGGTCGAAAACTTTAGGGTTTAGGGTTTAGGGTTTAGGGTTTAGGGTTTAGGGTTTAGGGTTTAGACTAAGAGCCCAGGAGACCCCGTTTTGCTGCTTGATGCGTCGCTCCGAATCAAGATTTCTAGTTTGCCCCGCCTTCCATTGTCGATTGGGCGTGCTCTGTTTGCTTCGGGCACAGGGTTACATCCTAAACCCTGAACCTTGAACACCAAACCCTGACCCCTAGCTCGGTGGCTCGGTACATGTTGGGCATGCTCTCCTTGCGGGGCCCTGAGCCAACACACAAGCAAGCAAGCTCACCTCAGCCCGCAACTGTTTGCCTGAAACTTGGGCGTACCTGCAACCACAGCACCCATAATCATGGCCAATAGCTATCCATTCCGAGATACATGCGCATATACAGTAACAGGTAAGCCAGTACTACTAGTATGCCGGGGTGTTTAGGTGGAGGTTTAAGGGCCTACGGATGTCTGGGTTCATGTGGTAAACTCCACCTGTAGACCCTGAGCACAATCCTGACATGTCTGAGATCTTCTCAACCATGGAACCCTACAAGCGAGCCGGTCGCACTAGCTACAAAGCAAAGATGCCAGGAAGCTTCTTACCCCAATGCAGAAGCAGGGGTGGATATGCTCAAGCACTGAATCTGCGGGTTCGCGCTTCTAACGGTTGACATAGCTATGCATGTGTTCCCTCCACCACACAAATAACCCTGTTGCAACCCTCCTCGCTATGACCGGCCATATATTGAGTAGTTAGTAGTTCGTGCTGATTTCGCTCGTAACAATCTGATGCCACATATACAGCCAATCCTTAAACCGCCCAAACAAAATCCCAACCCCCCATGCCCAAACGAACCCTGCACCACCAAGTATTCCTGCAACCAGACCCGTCGGGATTTGTGACATTTGTTTAACCGTGCCTTAAACCCTAGAACCCTCGTCCCAATTAAGCCCTAAATCCTCAGCCATGATAGCCCCAAACCCTAAGACCCACACCCCAAATCTCAAACCCTAAACCCTAAACCCCAAACCCCAAACCCTAAACCCTAAACCCTAAACCCTAAACCCTAAACCCCAACTCCAAACATCCCTGCAGTGCCGCCCGGTCGCGCACACCGGCCCCTGGGCTGGACAATCACGGTCGCCGGCTGCGTGGGAGACCTTTGCGCAACATCTTGCTGCTCCCCTAAACCCTAAACCCTAAACCCCAAACCCCAAACCCTAAACCCTAAACCCCAAACCCCAAACCCTAAACCCCAAACCCCAAACCCTAAACCGAATGTTGAATACATAAGCCGAATGTTGAACAATCCCTTCTCCCTAACATTAACTCCCCCCCCCCCCCCAAAAAAAACTTCCCGAATATTACATAGACCCCCCCCATATGCCATTATGTAACTATACTGGGGGTATCATCCTAAACCCTAAACCCTCAACCCTAAACCCTAAACCCCAAACCCTAAACCCTAAACCCTAAACCCTAAACCCTCAACCCTAAACCCTAAACCACTCCTATAATAGGGGGGGGGTATTTAACATCAGGGGCGTACCATTCGGGGACACAAGAGGGATCCTCGGATGCACCGAACCCAGGATGGAACCTCAGATTTCTCGCACTGAACCCCAATCCCTGTCTTGGGCGTTTAGGGTTTAGGGTTTAGGGTTTAGGGTTTAGGGTTTAGGGTTTAGGGCACAATTGGGCCAGGGTTTGGGGCTTGGCCTTCCGTGCATGGCGGGGGCGCTGTTCCTAAAGCAATCCGTGCATCCACTTTCGTTAGGCAAATGGTTTGATTAACGTCTGGTTCTGAGGGACCACGTGAGAACAGGGACACCAGCCATAATCCATATCCGAGGGAACAGACCGTGGACGGACCTAGATCTAGCGAAGCCTTTCTGGTGACCAAATGAACCCTAGAATTGGGGTCATTTAGCCTGGTCTACTATAATTCTTCTAACGATATATGAACCATAAACCCTTTCGGGGTTCATGTCGTCCCCAGGCCCTGACACCCGAACACACCCCTCCAACACCCCAACACACTGAATCCCAGCCCGCTAGACCCTGAACCCTCGACCCTGAACCCTCGACCCTGAACCCTGAGTCTACAAACCCTTAAGCCCTAACCCCTGTACTCTAGAACCCTCATTACAACCCTAAAGCCCTAACCCCTAAACTCTAAACCCCTAAATGCAACCCTAAACCTCGAATCCCTAAACCCCTTTTCTCTAGAACCCGAAATAGCACCCTAAACTTCTACCGTAAATCCCTAAACTCTAAAGCCCTAAATACAACCCAAACCCCGACACTCTAAACCCTAACACCCCAAACCCTAAAAGGCCCAGCGGGTGTCGGAGACCCCGACAATGGACTCTGGCAGGCAAAGCGGGTGCTCGCCGGCGACGCCTCCGCGGGTTTAGGGTTTAGGGTTTAGGGTTTAGGGTTTATTGTTTAGGTATTGAGAACAAGGTGTTGAAGCTGTAGGGTTGGGCTATGGTTTTGTGGGTTTAGGGGTTGAGGGGTTTAGGGATTTGGCGGGGCTGGGGCCTAGGGGCTTGCAGGGTTGCTTAGGGGTCAGGGTTGTAAGGTTTAGGTGTGAACAGCGTAGAGCAAGCTGTGTTTGCAGTCTTGCAGCACATATGATACATTCATGATGAATAATGGCAAGGCCGGTGAACATGCTTTTGAGCAGCTTTTTTCCACTACATAGGGCACCGCCGCATTTTAGGCATCAAACAGCCACGCACACCGGATACCTTTTTTTACAGCGGTCTTCTGGCCAGGATGCATCACTCCTGTGGGCAATGACACAGTGTCAACTGTTTGGGGCATAGGGTTTAGGGTCCAAGCACTTGGGGTTGGGGTTCAATAGGCTTAGGGTTTAGGGGCCAAGGTTTAGGGTTTAGGGTTTAGGGTTTAGGGTTTAGGGTTTAGGGTTTAGGGTTTAGGGTTTAGGAGCCAAGGTTTGGGGCAAAGGGTGTAAGGCCTAGGGTTTGGGGCCCTGGGGTTTGGGGCATAAGTGTTGGGGCCCTCGGGTTTGCGGCACAGGGTTGAGGGCCTTATGGGGGTTTAGGGCCCTGGCGTTTGGAGCATAGGGGGCCCTCGTGAAAGCATTTTGGGGGCATATGGACGATGAGATTTTTCATTCTCTTCATGTTATGGGATTCTTTTGGGGTAGGTGGGTATTCTTCCAGCGCTTGCCAATCTGCTTGACTAGTACATGCTTGGACCTGAGATGCTTGAGATGCTGAACCCTAAACCCTAAAACCTAGACCCTAAACCCTAGACCCCAAACCCCAAACCCGAAACCCCAAACCCCAAACCCCTGTACCCTAAACCCTAAACCCTGAGCCCTAAACCCTAAACCCAAAACCCTAGACCCCAAACCCCAAACCCGAAACCCTAAACCCTAAACCCCAAACCCCATTGAAGGGATCAGGGCTCGGCTCTCGGCGCCTGTGCAGCTGCCTGGGCAGCAGCCACGGCTTGCCTCGCGACACGAGGGGGCCCTTTTGGGGCTTTAGGGTTTAGGGTTTAGGGGTTTTAGGGGTTTAGGGGTTTAGGGGTTAAGGGGTGTTAGGGTTTAGGGGTTTTGGGGTTTAGGGGTTTAGGGGTTTAGGGTTTAGGTTTAGGGGTTTAGGGGTTTAGGGGGTTTGGAGGGGTTTAGGGGTTTGGGGTTTTGGGGTTTAGGGGGTTTGGAGGGTTTAGGGGTTTAGGGGAGTTTTGGGCTTCAGGCTGAGCGCAGTCAACAAGAAGGGCGCTAAGTACCCTGAATTGTGGTTCGAAGTATGGTGACAGTACCACCTCTATGACCCTACTTATAACTACGCAGGAACGCCAAAGTGGGGTCTCAGACACAAAGGACGAAGTGTCAAAGCCCTAAACACCCCAAATTGATGAGTACAGACGTGCTCCTTCTTAAGCTCTAGCATAACTGCTGCAGCAGAAATCTTTTTGCACACCTTAAACCTACAGCCCCTTGAACCTGAACCCTAAACCCAAAACCTTAAACCCTAAACCCTAAACCCATACCCGACAAGCATATGAGCCTATAAGCCCTGCATCTGAAATCAACCCGAAGCCCGCACTCTCCAGTCTGCAACCTGCAATCAAGACCCTGCGCGCCCTAGGAATTTCGGGCTTTTGATTCAGGGTTGGCAGGGGTTGGGGGCCATGTGACAAGAAGCATCTCAAGCAACCTGCGAGTGAAAAAGTGCCCTTGTCTTTGGTTTAGGATTTAGGATGGTTGAAACTACACCCCCCCCCCTCCCCGCGCCGTGGGAGTAACTGGGCATCCTCCGATGAGAAGAGAGTTCACATGGTTCAGGATTTGGGGTTGCGAACTGACCATACAAACCCTAACCATAAACCCCTAAACCCTGAATCCCAAAACCCCTAAACCCCCCTAAACCCCTCTAAACCCCTAAACCCAAAACCCGTGAACCCTAAACTCCTAGACCCTAACCCCCTAAACCCTAAACCCCTCAACCCCTAAACCCTCAGACAAATGCCTGGCGCGCTGCTCGGATGAGGCCACGCCTGAGCGCGTCGTGCGGGAGATGGCGCTTAGGGTTCAAAGTTTCTAGGGTTTAGAGGCCCTAAACCCTAAACCCTAAACCCTGAACCCTAAAGACCCTCAACCTTAAACCCTAAACCCTAAAGACCTGAACATCCTGGTAGGGTTTTGCGGTGAAGGACCTCAACATCCGACATCCCTAACACCCAAACCCTAAACCCGAAGGCCGACGCAGGGGCTTCGGGATCATGAGAGCCAAGTAAGCATACAAAAGGTTTAGGGTTTAGGGTTTAGGGTTTAGGGTTTAGGGTTTAGGGTTTAGGGTTTAGGGCTTAACTTCGCGAATCGTGCTGGGAGCTGCACTCAGCCCGGCTTCGAGCTGAGCCTGCCATGTCTTGACAGCGACTATTGGTTTAGGGTTTAGGGTTTAGGGTTTAGGGTTTATTGTTTAGGGTTTAGGGTTTAGGGTTTAGGGTTTAGGGTTTAGGGTTTAGGGCGCCGGGGGGGGCTTCGGGTTTAGGGTTTAGGGTTTCTGAGGCACGTGGCGCTTTGTTAGCTTAAGGTTATAGGATCCTTCCTCGAGCTTGGAACACGAGCCCTTGTCTCAAGATGGTTCTCCCTGCACCCAAAATCCCCCCAAAAACCCCTTAACTCCCCCTACAGGCCCCTAAACGCCCCTAAATGCTGCTAAATCCCCCTTTAATCCCTACAAGTCCCCCTAAAGCGCTGAGTTTCCAAACCCGAGAACCCGACAAATACAGCGGCCTTGATAATTAGAATAGGGTTCTCGGATAATATAACAATTAGGGACGACAAGGGAAGACTATTTGTAACTATTCCGGCAACTACATTACCCTGGCACCCTCCAGTCGTGTCACGTCACATTTTCCCGCGCGCGCGCGACGGCCGGGCCTCTGATGTCGGAAAAGTGCCGCTGGGCCTTGCACCTAGTTCGCCCCTAAACCCTAATCCCTACACCCTTGGCACGCACTGAACCACCCTAACCATCCACCTGCCCCAAAACTCGAAAACCTCACAACATATGGACCTTCGTTAGGGTTATTGGTATAGCTATGATGGCTAAGCTGCTTCATGAAGGGCGGAAGCCTGAGCCGGCTCAAACTGTGAGATGTTATATCCCCTCCTCTGCCAAAAGCAATCTCTAGATACATAATATAGGGGTCGGAACAATTACTACTAATATTCCCTCATGGTCCCTTTGAATTTCTACTATATGCAGCAACCCCCAAAACCCTATTCTACTCATTAGGGCCCCTATACTACACATGGTAACTTCTCAAAAAGATGGTCCCTCAACCCTAAACCCTAAACCCTAAACCCTAAACCCTAAACCCTAAAAGGACTGAAGCCCGACGGCCCTTGCGACGATCGGCGCTGGCTCGTTAACCGGCCCAGTCTGTGAGAAGCCCTTGACAGTCCAATGGCGACTCAGGACCCCAAACCCTAAACCCTAAACCCTAGACCCCAAACCCTACACCCTGAACCCTGAACCCTAGACCCCAAACCCTAAACCCTGAACCCTAAACCCTAAACCCTAAAACCCTAAACCCTAACCCTAAACCCTGAAGACAAAATACATAGAAATTGTATGTGGTATCATTCTGAATCTTCCCAGGTTAGTCAAAACAGCTGACAGGCAGAGTGTAAGCACATTCATCCACAGCGCCTGGGAGGCCATATTATGCTCAGTTTACTTAAACTTCTGGGGCCTTCCCACCCAAAGAATCCCAGAAGGCCAGCCAGGGCCGGGAGGCCCCAACAAAAATGAAAACTAGGTTCTAAAGCAGAAGCTTTCGCTCAAAACGTTCGCTCAAAACTTTCGCTCAAAACGTTATTGGGACCCAAACCCTATACAGTATCTATAAACTCTGCCCCTAAACCCTAATTTTTGAACCCTAGACCCTAGACCATAAGCCACGAACCCGAACCCCAACACCCTGACCTTCGGGCAGCGCGAGCCCTAAACACTCAAACCCTAAGCCCCACAAGCCCCCTGCCTAAACCTAGACCCCTACATGAACCCTGAACCCCCAAGTCAGGTCAAATCAGGACTTAGTCCAGGAGTTAGGCTTTAGGGCCTAGGGCAAAAGCTGGCTCAGGGGTGCACCAGCAACAACATGGGGAGGGGTTTCCGTTTTACGGGCTTTTGTTCCAAAACCCCTAGCCCCTAACCCCCAAGCCCTAAACCCCTAGCCCCTGAGCCCCATCCCTGACAAAAACAAGGGGATACCGCTCGATTGGGGTCCCAGGAAAGGCGTGGAATGACCCGGACCCCCGACAAAAATCGTGGCCGCGCACAGGTTTTCGGATTGAAATTGAGGCATAGGGATTTTTTTTGGAACTGGGAGCTTCGGGTTTAGGGTTTAGGGTTTAGGGTTTAGGCTTCAGGGGCTTCTCAAAGCACGTGTCGAGATTCTCAGCACAGGGTCTCCGTCCAACCTGCTTTGTCCCCATCGTTGGATTTCCCCAAACCCTAAACCCTGAACCCTGAACCCTGAACCCTGAACCCTGAACCCTGAACCCTGAACCCTAAACCCTAAACCCTAAACCCTACGTATAACCTCCAACTCCAACCTGTCAGTAAGTCTCACAAACCGTCAGGGAGGTGAAAAGGATTTCAAACCCTAAGCCCCACAATGCTTTAGGCCCCAAACCCAAAACCCAAAACCCAAAACCCTAAACCCTAAACCCTAAACCCTAAACCCTAAACCCTAAACCCTAAACCTAAACCCCTCCAATATGAACCTTGCAGTTCAGGGTTGGGGGGGGGGGGGGGCGAATTCGGGCGCCAACTTTGCAGATTTGGAATCGGTAACTTTTGTTTCTAATTTTCAGGCCCTGCCAGAATAGGACTCCTGATGCAAAAAAGGGTTTAGGGTTTCGGGCTTAGGGTTGCAACCGTCGTTTGAGCAATAAACACGCCGACTAGGGCTTCAGGGCTTCAGCATTTACGAATCTGGGATTGAGAGTTCAGCGTTCCGAGTTTGGGGTTTGGCCTAAACCCTAAACCCTAAACCCTAAACCCTAAACCCTAAACCCTAAACCCTAAACCCTTGGGCGACCCAGCATTGAGAATCCGCTTTTGAAGCAAAATCCCTCCTTCGGAGGGATCTGGCCACTGGGCCCACGTTAGCTAAGGGCATACAAGGGCGAGCTCCGCGGTGAGGTCTAGGGTTTAGGGTTTAGGGTTTAGGGTTTAGGGTTTAGGGTTTAGGATTTAGCGGTTTGGGGTTTGGGGTTTAGGGCTTAGGGTTTGAGGTTGGGGGTTTGGCGCCCTTATCGCAAGGAGCCGGCTGGCCTTTCAGACGGCGTCTGCCTGATCGAAGATCGACCTTGGGAATGGGGAAGACTTGTTGGGATCAAATGGGGCTTGGTTTAGGGTTTAGGACTTAGGTTTAGGGTTTAGGGTTTAGGGTTTAGGGTTTAGGGTTTAGGGTTTAGGGTTTAGGGTTTCGGGTTTAGGGTTTAGGGTTTAGGGTGCGGTAGGTTAGCTCTCAGTCCCGACAGCAGGGGCCCATGTTTCGCGGAATCTTCTCAATGACTATGTAGGTACTCGAAGCCCTGAGCCCTGACCCTAAACTCAAAAACGAAAGCCTGAACCCTAAACACAAAACCTTCCTAAGCCCTAAACCTTACACCATCCTTCGACACGACCTCGAGGACCCTTCCGTCTTCCTAAGCTCGCAACTCTTCGGCCGCAAGGGCGACACTGCAGCAGCCTCCGCGACCGCCTTAGAAAGTCTGGATCTCAAAAATAGAGTTTTGGGCCCTGGGCCAAAAAACCAACCCTAAACCCTAATCCCTAAACCCTGAACCCTATACCCCAGCACGCTTATCAACCCTTCTCGAAACCCTGAGGAATCACTAAACCTCCATGCCCTCCTCATCTCTCAGCCCACCGGTTTTAGGGTTTAGGGTTTAGGGTTTAGGGTTTAGGGTTTAGGGTTTAGGGTTTAGGGTTTAGGGTTTAGGGTTTAGGGTTTTCGGGTTTAGGGTATAGGGTTTGGGGAGGGGAACTCAACAAGGCGCAAACCCTCTTTCCCACGTCCTCACGTGGCTCCTGAGGTGACAAGGTTTCATGAGATTGGAGAACTCCTCCACGATTCGTTTAGGGTTTAGGGTTTAGGGTTTAGGGTTTAGAGCTTAGGGTTCAGGTTTTAGGGCTCAGGGTTTAGGATTTAGGGTTCAGAGTTTGCGGTGGAACCCACAAGGCCGGGCTCGGTTCTGACACCCCTAATTAAGCCCTAAACCCCCCTAAGCCGACCCCAGTCTCCCAAACCATAAACCCTAAACCCCAAACTCTTCACTCTAAACCGTAAACCCTAAACCCTAAACCCCTAAACCCCAAACCCCAAACCCCAAAACCCCTAAACCCTAAACCCTAAACCCAAAACCCTAAACCCCTAAACCCCTAAACCCCTAAACCCCTAAACCCTAAACCCTAAACCCTAAACCCTAAACCCCTGGCCTCACCGAGCTCCCGGTCCATGGCATCGAAGCGCGCGTCGCGCACGTCACCGGCAGCCCGGGCCGAGGCCTGGCGCTCCTTGCGTTTAGGGTTTATGGGGTTTAGGGTTTAGGGTTTAGGGTTTAGGGCTTCTAGAACCCTAGAACCCTAGAACCCTAGAACCCTAGAACCCTACAACCCCAGAACCCTAGAACCCTAGAACCCCAGAACCCTAGAACCCTAGAACCCTAGAACCCTCAAACTTCAGCAAACCCGCCTCCGAGGCAATCCGCTGCGCGAAGCGGAGGAGGTCAGAGGGAGTGGGCCTGGGGCTTGGGGCTTAGGGCTTAGGGCTTAGGGCTTAGGGCTTAGGGCTTAGGGCTTAGGGCTTAGGGCTTAGGGCTTAGGGCTTAGGGCTTAGGGCTTAGGTTTTAGGGTTTAGGGTTTAGGGTTTAGGGTTTAGGGTTTAGGGTGATCGCGGGTTCGGAGCTAGGTTTTGAAGAACAACTAGTGTTGTGGAAACTCAGGTTTGGGGTTCAGGGTTTCGGGAGTTTAGGGAGTTTAGGGTTTGGGGTTCAGGGTTGAAGTCTTTTGAGGGGCGGCTTCGGATTTAAGGGTATAGGGTTTGCAGGATCATGCGAAAGCAATCCCTACACCTCAGCACCCGGATCCTAAACCTACTTCTAGTAGGTTGCCTGTTCTAAATCTATCCCCGGGAACGCCGGAACCCTTCTGCTCTAGCCCTAGACCCCAGACCCTAAACCCTAAACCCTCGTCCCTAAACCCAAAACCTTCGTGAACCTTAGCCTTGAAAACCCTAAGCCCCTGTAGTATACACCCTGAAAAGCCTAAGTCCTATACCCAAAACCCTGAAGCCCACAACCGCTAGACCCTGAAGCCATAAGTGGCAAGGACTTTTACGTCCTATTTGATGAGACAGTTACAAAATCCTAAACCCTAAGCCCTAACCCTCAACCATGAATTCCCCCTGCTCCTTGCTGTTTGCGACAGCTCTCATGTCGATCTAGGGCTTAGGGTTTAGGATTTAGGGTCTAGGGTTTAGGCTGTCGCTTTGCCTTCTTAGAGTGCACTCCCCAGTTGACTTCCAAGAGGATGAGAGCGCGCTCCCAAAAGAGCACCCGCAGAGAACTCGAAGATTACTCCCAGATTATGGGCGGTTTAGGGTTTAGGGTTTAGGGTTTAGGGTTTAGGGTTTAGGGTTTAGGGTTTAGGGTCTGAAGGGAGGGGGGGTTCGGAGGGGGTATGTGCGAATGCCCCCTACCTCTCCCCAAGCTTCCCTAAGGTTCAGGTACCCCCCCCCATGAACCCCCCCTCCATCTGACCTTAGGGTTTAGGGTTTAGGGTTTAGGGTTTCGGGTTTTAGGGTTTAGGGTTTAGGGTTTAGGGTTTAGGGTTCAGCACTCCTACCACCCCGCCACCACTTTGAAGGGTAGACTTGAGGGCGTCCTACAACTCCGATGCCCCGCATTGTTTGAACTACACCCTGAAGCCTAACAATCCCAAATCCTATGGACGAGCCCCTAAACCCTAGACCCCCGAAGCCGTAAAACCACCATAAACCCTAAACCATAACAACTCAAGCCCTTGAGCCCTGAAATAGCCCGAAACCCTAAACCCCAAACCCCAAACCCTAAACCCTAAACCCTAAACCCTCAACCCTAGCTCTTCAGAAGGAGTGGCTCATGCTCGGCCTCGCGTGCCGCCTCCTGCGCGATGCGGATGAGTTCTGGCTCCTCCGGAGCTGCGGCTGCGAAAGAAAAAGGAACTGGGACTAGGGTTTTAGGGTTTAGGGTTCAGGGTTTAGAGTTTGGGTTTAGATTAGGGGTTTAGGGTTTGGGGTTTAGGGTTTAGGGTCTATAAACTCAACGCTGTAAACCGGAGAAAGTCCACATCCTGAGCCTCATGCAACACCCTGAAGTCGACTCCTCGGTCGTCCGCGGCGGTGTTTCGACCTCGTCTGAAACCCTGCTTATAAGGTTTGAGGGTTTCTGGGTTAGGGTTTAGGGTTTAGGGTTCAGGGTTCAGGGTTCAGGGTTCAGGGTTTAGGGTTTAGGGTTTAGGGTTTAGGGTTTAGGGTTTAGGGGTGCTACCTCCAGGTTTCCCAAAAAACGGTCAGAGTCATACCTATAAAGCTACCCCACTTATACCCCCTACTTATAAGTACGTACCCGTGAGCCTCCAAGTAGGGTTTTGGGACTTAGGGTTGAGTTGCTGATGCAAGGTTCAAGGGGCTCAGGGCTTAAGGGAGTTAAGTTTCAGGCTTTAGGTTTTTTTTGGCATAGGGTTTTGTAAAGGGTCTACGATTGTGGCTCAGGGCTCGGGGCTTTGGATTTTCACTTGTAGGGTCGGTGTTTATCAAGCTTATAGGGCTAGAGGCTTATGAGTTGGGGCTTTGCGATTTAGAAGCCGGAAGGGATCATGGTGTTGCAGTTGAGGGTTCAAGGTCAGGTTTTGGGGATTGGGGCTTAGGGTTGGTTTAGGGTTCTGTGGTAGCGTTGCTTTGCAAACTCCATCTTCAGCTGCTTCGCAGCCTGGTCGTACTATTTTCAGGGAGAACTCATTATGAGGGTTTTGATTATAGACGAGAGAGAGGGTTCAAGGGATGTACAGGTGTTGGCCTCACTTGGGCTGAGGCTGTAACCTTGCCATTTGTTTGAGAAAGGAGTCTGAGCTCTGCTTCATGTGTGGAAGGGTCTTGCCACACACCTCCCCATTCACGAACGACCGACTCCATGGCCGAACGAAGATGATGGATCAAGTGAATATGGAGAGTACAGTCTGGGCCCGACACCTTGGCCCCTAACCCCTAAACCCTAAACCCTAAACCCTAAAACCCTAAACCCTAAACCCTAAAACCTTAAACCGCATGGCCTCTCGACAGCGGCCTGCAGCAATCTCAGCTTTTGCGCACCAAGAGCCCACGGCATCCTGGTGTTTTGAGTGCCTCCACTTCCACGCCTCCCTAGCAAGGTTTTAGGGTTTAGGTTTAGGGTTTAAGGTTTTAGGGTTTAGGGGAACATACACCGCGGGAAAGGGAGATAGGGCTTTGGGGCTTGTAGTTTGTCCCTTTGGCTTTAGGGGTTTGGGCTTTGGGGCTTTTGGAGTTTCAAGGGTTCTATGTTAGGGGGGGGCTTCGGTTTTGAGGTTTGGGCGTTCGGGGCTTCGGGTGTTTGGGCCTAGGGTGCACAAAGCTGGCGTGAAGCAAGATCCATATGGGAACCCTACTGCCTTGGGGACCAAATGAACTCTACAATTGGGGTCATATACCCTATACAACTATCACCCTTGTTGAGGCATATGAACACAAACCCTTTTCGGGCTCAATTAGTCCTTCTCCTGCCCATTCGGCTCATTTCTGTCTACCCGAAGTTCATGGGGGAATTGATCTCTGTTGGGACTTGCCGCTGTACACTGTACACGCCAAAATCTAAGCGTTGGGTCCAGAAGAGCGCTGGCCCTTTCTGAAAGCGTGAAGTGCGCTCCACAAACTCACAAAACCTGAAGGGCTTCGACCCAAACTGTACAAAGCTGCTGTGCAGATCTCACATCAATCTCGAGGCCTCGGCCTGTGACCACGCACCCTCCTCTGCGGCTTCTTCTGTTCCGGGATCTTTTGCTTTCGGATCTTCTTGGGGTGGATGGCATCGTAGGTTTCGGCGAAGGAAAGGAGGGCCTCCTCCGCCTCCTGGTTCTGCTTCTCCTATACTGAACTTGGAACCCTAGCAAAAATTAAAATCTTAGCTGTTTCTTACAAATCATGGTACCCAAAAAGGGACAAGATTCCCAAAAAGCCTGAGTCTCCCGTGGCCAACTCCACCAGAAGGCCTCCAGGATCTCCGCGTCGTAGGTGGTGACGGCGGAAGGGTTGTAGACATTCCTTGGGCCGGGACCCAATGAACCCCAAAAAATGGGGGGTCCTATACCTTATACTACTATCATGTCCTATTCAGGTATATGAACCATAAACCCTTTTAGGGTTTCATACCATTCCCAAGATTCTGCATGACCCGGTGCCAGGAGTGATTGAAGTGGGGATGGCTGAAGAAGCACTCGAGCTTCTGGTGCAGGGCGGTGCGAGCTTGCTGCTTCAAGTATTGTACGTCCTCCACATCGATGCCCAGCTCAGGAATCTTTACCCGGCGGTACATGGGATCCGTGGTGCTGACATACAAAGTGCCAGCGTAAACAGCCGGCGGAGTCACGTCCGCCGCCTCAAATTCCAGCTCCCTCTCTGCGCCCCTCAACTCACCAAGCTTGTAGAGGAACCTCGCCGTGCCCTCCCAAGCCTCTGCTTGAATCAAAGCAGTGCCGTCTGCACAGAACTGCACGCTCTGGATCTCGCAGTTGTAGTCGCAAGTTGGACAGCCCGGGATGTAGAACTCAAAGTCTCCGACCAAGACATCCGAAAGCAGCGCCAGGAGCTCGTCTCTGCCATCAAAACCCAGCTCCTGGAGCGACGCCTCCTCCTTGGGGACCAAATGAGTCGTAAAATCGGGGTCATACACCCTATACTACCATAGTTCCTATCCCCTTAAGGTATATGAACCATAAACTCTTTCAGGGTTCCTTTCGCCCCCAAGGCTCTGGGAGCTCCGCGACCCCCCAAACGAGGCAACGCACCACGCGGCACGGAGGCAACTGGGCGGCTTCCTCGATGAGGAGCTTCAGAGTCGCCACTTTGACGCTGGGCCTGGGCCCAAAAGTAACCTCTAGGACTTGAAAAAAAAAAAGGTGCCCCCTTCTTGGTTTTCAAGGGGCTTCTAAAAGGGAAGCTGAATATCCCCCCCCCCCCCCCTCGGAAAAAAAAAAAGAAAGGGGAATAAGGGGGCCAACTCTCGGTCCTAGAAGCTCGACGACCAGCTCCACGGGAGACCCTGACAGGAGCCTGGCGATCAGGCGCATACGACGTGGCATCTGGTAGGCCATGCTCGGTGATGTTGAGGGATCCAACAGCGAGCTGCTTGAGCTCTGAGTGGCTACACACACAGTGCCTCTCCCTATCCCTTTCCCTCTCCCTCTCTCTCTGGCTTTAGGCCACACATCGGCAGGCATTAGGGGCTAAAAAGGATTTGCACCGAGGGCTTAGGGTTGAGGGTTTAGGGTTCAGGGTACCCCTAAACCCTAAAAACCCTAAAGCGCTCTAAAAACAAAGCCTAGAACCTGATACACCCTGCGACGCTAAAACCTTTTCAAGCATAAACCCGATAAACCATAAACCCACATTCAATCCTAAATCCTGAACCCAAGACTGAACCCTACCTCCTGGTAGCCAAGCAACCAAACTATAATAAGGGCCCCCCCTTTTGGGTTGGGTACTTTAGAAAGGAGCCCAGAACCAAACAAAAAGGGTATCACTGGGCTACCAAGCTACCAAGCTACCCTAAACCCTAAACCCTAAACCCTAAACCCTAAACAGAACCCTAGAACCCTAGAACCCTAGAACCCTAGAACCCTAGAACCCTAGAACCCTAGAACCCTTTAACCCTAGAACCCAAGAACCCTCCCTACCTTCAGGCCCCGGACCGGCATGGATCGTTCCGCTTCGTCGTCGTCGGCTGCCCCACTGTCCTCCACATCGCCCACCTCCTTTCTGCGGTGCAGGGATTGGGGTTTAGGGTTTAGGGTTTAGGGTTTAGGGTTTAGGGTTTAGGGTTTAGGGTTTAGGGTTTAGGGTTTAGGGTTTAGGGTTTAGGGTTTAGGGTTTAGGGTTTAGGGTTTAGGGTTCAGGGTTCAGGGTTTAGGGTTTAGGGTTTAGGGCCTCAGGGTTCCCTAACAACCGTATCAGCCTGCGAATCCTATGCACCCTCAATGAAAAACAGCTCTTGTCTAGAGGCAAGGCTGTACAAGGCTTCTCAGCAAGTAGGGTTAGCATAGGGTTTAGGGTTTAGGGTTTCGGGTTTCGGGTTTAGGGTTTAGGGTATGAACACACCGTGTCAATTCAGATGGAGCGCATTCATACATGGCAATACCAACACTATTCAATAAGGGCTTGGCGTTAACAGCTCGGTCAGGGAGGAGGAAAGCTTAGCGGAACTATTGGGAGCCTTATCGGTTTTAGGGTTCAGGGAAGGGGGGGGGAAAGACCCTGCTCAAAGCCCTAAACCCTATATACCCCAAGCCATATGCTCCCCGAACCCCAAACCCCAACCCTTCTGAACCGCAAACTCCTCAACCCTGCCTGAAGAACTCTGTACTGAAAAAAACCCTCCGGTACGCCTCGGGTGCCGCATGCTCCGACGCCTGGGCAGGAAGAGGAGATGTTTCGGAGGGTTTAGGGTTTAGTGTTTGCGTAGGGGCTTAGGGTTTGGGGAATGGGTTGCTTCCGTTTCTGAGAGACCCCCCCTACCCCCCCCCCCCCCCCCGGCCCTCCTTTGCAGACCATATATAGGGCGATCACACCACTTGAAGACTCCCAACGCTAAAGCTCTCAACTGTGTTCCTCCTCTACCCCCTACTTGGTATACCAGTAACCATATTATAATAAGGGCACCCTTCTTTTGGCTGGCTAATTTATAAGGGAACCCATAACCAAAGAAAGGGTCAAGGGTACCAGTAGCATGCCAAGCCTATGTTCGGAAATCCCCTTGAATAAGCAAAAGCAGAATTTCACCGTGGGGGGGGGGGAGTACTTTTTCATAAGAGAACCCAGAACCGAAAAAGGTAAAAAGGTTCGACCGGGCTACCAAGACACACAAAGAACAAGAACAAACAAAAACTCCTGAACACATCCTTTAACAAACGCGGGACAAACACACGAGCACCTTGAGAGTGGAGTCCAAAACCCTGAAAAGGCCCTAAAACAACCTCAAAAGACACACAACAAAAAACCAAAAGCCCTGAGCCAAAAAAACAACCTCTTGGGATATCATCTTGGAAAAAAGTCCCAAAATCTGCACCCAAAAACAAGTATACCCTAAAACCCTGAAACCCTAAACTCCGAAACCCTACAAAGCCCCAAAACATCTAACCCTTAACCCTTCAACCCTAAAACCCTAAACCCGGAAAACAAAAAGAAAACATACCCTTAATAACCCTTAAACCCTAAATCTCCTAAAGCCCTAGACTACTCCCTAAACCCTAAACCCTACACCCTAAACCCTAAACTCCCCACGCCTGAGTCGGGCGGGTGATGAGCCGCAGCACTTCCTTCACCTCCTCGGGGCCTGCGAAAGGGTTTAGGGTTTAGGGTTTAGGGTTTAGGGTTGAGGGTTGAGGGTGGAGGGTTGAGGGTTGAGGGTTGAGGGTTGAGGGTTGAGCCGAGGGAAGGGATTTAGGGGTTCTGGGGCTTTAGGGGTTCTAGGGTTTTGGGGGTCTTAGGGGTTTTAGGGGTTCTAGGGTTTTAGGGTTCTTAGGGGTTCTTGGGTTTTAGGGTTCTTAGGGGTTCTTGGGTTTTAGGGTTCTAGGGGTCTAGGGGGCTTTAGGGGGTTCAGGTTCTAGAGCTGTTAGGGTGCCAGGGCTTTAGGGTTCTAGGGCTTTAGGGTTTATGGGGTTTTGGGGTTTTAGGGGTTTAGGGTTCCAGCTCTTAGGATTTAGGGGCTACAAGCTAGAGAAACAAACACCTCACTCTGGTTCACATTCGCGCACAGGGGCCCCCAAGAACGGGACGTTCACGGCTGTCGGGGGTTTAGGGTTTAGGGCTTAGGGTTTAGGGTTGAGGGCTTGTGGTTGAGGGCTTAGGTTTTAGGGGCGTTTAGGATGAACACGCTTCAGGCAGATCAACTCCGCCTTGTTGCGACTTTGCTCCCTCCACCCCCCCCCCCAGCAACATAGCAACACAAACCCTAAACCCTAAACCCTAAACCCTAAACCCTAAACCCTAAACCCTAAACCCTAAACCCTAAACCCTAAACCCTAAACCCTATAAACCCTAAACCCCAATGCGAACCCGATGCCCCAAGGGTCTAGGGGGGCAAGGGCCAGGCTTTTTGCACTGAAGCGGCGGCACGGATGCGGTAATTGAAAAACAGGGCGGCTTTAGGCAGATGTCTGGATACTCTACATCTTCTCTGCCAAGACGAAGGTGCTCCGATGTATATGCACACATAATTTGGTATTTGATCTTGTACTTGGGCCCCTTTTGGGGGTCTCTACTAGAGTCTTTTCCATTTTTGAGGGTAGGGCTCAGGGTCGGGTCTCCTTGGATTCAAAGTAGCTTGTTGAAGATTGCTTTTTAGGGTTTGGGGTTTAGGGTTTGGGTTTAGGGTTTAGGGTTTAGGGTTTAGGGTTTAGGGTTTAGGGTTTAGGGTTTAGGGTTTAGGGTTTAGGGTTTAGGGTTTAGGGTTTAGGGTTTAGGGTTTAGGGTTTAGGGTGTAGGGTTAGGGTTTAGGGTTTAGGGTTTAGGGTTTAGGGTTTAGGGTTTAGGGTTTAGGGTTTAGGGGCGGCTGGGGGATGTATCTTTGGGACCTGGACAGCTGCCCTCTCTGAAGGAGAAGCACTCTCGCGCGTTTCGGGCCGATTTCGCACCCCGCGCGCCTCTCCGCCATCCGCAGAGCCTGAAAACCTCTAGAGGCCGAAATGTTTAGGGTTTAGGGCTGTTAGGGTTTAGGGTTTAGGGTTGTTAGGGTTTAGGGTTTAGGGTTTAGGGTTTAGGGTTTAGGGTTTAAGGGTTTAGGGTTTAGGGTTTCGCAGAAAATATTTGCATGAATAATAGGGATTCTAGTAGAATGGCGCAGATGGTCTCCCAGAGCCAAGAACGGAACAGCTGTACCCAACGCCAACTGCCAGCATAGCTGGCACAGCTGGCGCGATTTGCACAGTCAACTCGAAAACGCTCGATTCTCACTTCGAGCCGTTTAGGGTTTAGGGTTTAGGGCTTAGGGCTTAGGGTTTAGGGGTCTACTCGGAACATAACATCCTAAAACCTAAGCCCTGTAACCTTAGGGGCGGAGTACCCTGGCCCAAACAAGGTTAACCTTTTGTATCTAATCGGATTCTATATAACCAAAAAGGTTAAAGGGTTACCTACCCAGCCACTAGGTAACTGAAGCCCCCACAAACCTTGAACCCTGTGAAGCTCTGAAGCGAGAAATACATTGGTGATGGACTGCAAACTGGCCAGGAGCCGCTTTTGGGGGTAGCAGGGTAGTACCCTTGCACAAGTTCGGAAGAGGGTTTGTTGGAGGCTTGGGGTTCAGGTAAGTGGGTTTGGGGTATGCTGCAAGGAGATATTGCGCCGACGATGTCGGTATGCCCTCGTGAGCGACGCTCGTCACCCTGCAGATCTCCACGCCTCCCCCTATACCCCGACTCCCCAAGATAAACAAAGGGAGTGAGGGGGCGTTTTTCATCTGAGGGAGGGCGGGAATCAGCAATCTGTGATCTGGGTAGTTTCCAACTTCGTAATGATCCTCAAAATGCTATACGTCTGAAATCAAAAGGCCACCCTAGTTTCCAACTTCTGCAGAATCCTCAAACATGCTACACGTGCAATAAAAAGGCCACCCCAAATTTTATGGAAGCTCCCGTATGCTAAAGTTCAAAACGGAGTTGCGCATGGTTGTGAAGCTCAGCTGGGTGGATCATCAACGCCCGCGTGCTCCTCAGGGTTCAGGGTCGGGTTAAGGGTCTCGGCTAGCCCTAAACCCTAAACCCTAAACCCTAAACCCTAAACCCTAAACCCTAAACCCTAAACCCTGGCTCCTCCGCGTGGGGACACGCTGCTGCCACAAGGCGCGCGCCAAGGCAGCAAGCGCCACAGGATTCGTCATACCAACGAAAGCATAGCCCTTTGACTTGGTGGCGTTTGTCTTGGGCATCTCAAGCTGGTAGTCACCTGAGGGTGTAGGGTTTAGGGTTTAGGCTGGTTCAGGGTTAAAGGCTTCAGGGCTTAGAGTAACTACCTTCAATGAGGTGCTAGTCTTGGGCATCTTAGGCTTGTAGTCACCTGGTTCAGGGTTAAAGGCTTAGGGTCTAGGATTTAGGGCTTAGGGTAACTCCCTTCAATGGAGGTTTAGAGTACCTAAACCCTAAGTGCTGAACCCTAAACCCTAAGCCCCAGTATTTAAGCCTTGGGGTTTAGTATGCAGGGTGTTGGGGAGGGGGGGGGGGGGAGAAGTATCCCTATATAACCTAAAGCATGCTCCTCAAGTAACGGGTATTGGACTCTGTGGGACATCCAAAGCAGGATACATCTTCCTGGCACGGTGTTCGTAAAGGCAAGCTACAAGCTACCTCCACAAGTGCAGGGGAACTGAAACTCCCCAGGCCCAAGCTCCTGAACCCTAGAGTCTCTAAGCCCTAAACCCTAAACTCTCTAAACCCCTATTCAACCCCTATGAAACCCCTATGAAACCCCTATGAAACCCCGATTAAACCCCTATTAAGCCCCTATTAAACCCCTATTAAACCCCTATTAAACCCCTATTAAACCCCTATTAAACCCATATTAAACCCCTTATTAAACCCCTATTAAACCCCTATAACCCATTCAACCCTGCATGCTAAACCTTTAACCCCAATGCCCGAGTTGCGAGCCCCAAGGCTGTCTAGGAAGGCGCGGAGCTCCGACTCGAGACACCGGGCGGGGACGTTGCGGATCATCATCTTCCTGAGGGTTTAGGGTTTAGGGTCTAGGGTTTAGGGTTTAGGGCTTAGGGTTTAGGGTTTTAGGGTTTAGGGAGTAGGGTTAGTGAACCCCAGGTTCAGGGGCCTCAACGAACCCTCAAGGGGGTTTGGCGAACAGGGTGGTTTAAGGTTCAGGGTTCAGGGTTCAGGGTTCAGGGTTCAGGAGGGCTACCTAGAGTCCCATTTTTATTCCTTTTTGGTCCCCGAGGTTCGTAGACAGCAGCCACTGGAGGCTGCTGGGGTGCAAGCCGAAGGCCTCCTTCCCTTAGCTGCTTTGGGGTTTAGGGTTTAGGGTTTAGGGTTTAGGGTTTAGGGTTTAAGGTTTAGGGTCTAGGGTTTAGGGTTTAGGGTTTAGGGTTTCGGGTTTAGGGTCTAGGGTCTAGGGTCTAGGGGGTTTAGGGTTTGGGGTTTAGGGTTTAGGATGGTTTAGGGTTTAGGATGGCTTAGGGTTCAGGGCTTGAGGTTCAGGACTTAGGGCCCGTGGATTGAGTCCTTATTCTCAGGGTGCCGTAACATACCCTAAACCCTAAACCCTAAACCCTAAACCCCTATTTGGGGCACCCAAAAAGGACCCGAATTTAGAGAACTGCCCTCTGTAACAAATCTCTTAAGCGATTGAAGCGTCACACCCTGCCACCCTCAACCCTGATCCATGCAGGTGGCCCACCACATCATCACCATCATCATCGTCATGATCAAGATGATGAGGATGATGATTATGACGATAAACAACATCCTCACTATCCCGGCCTTATCCTCCTGCTCGTCATCATCATATCTTTTCCACGATCCAGAAAACTCTTGCGACGAACAGACGACCTGCCCTAAGCTCTTATTCGGCAATTAAGGGGCTTTAGGGTTTCCCGTCGAGGGCGTTTTTTCTGTAGGGACCTAACTCATTCTTAATTCTCCACTAAGAGACAACAGGGACCAGGACTTTCGACATCCAACTAATCTCTGAAGATCTATGAAGCAGAGTTGCATATGTCCAGCTGGGCCGCATACCCTGCTTCCACCTCAGGCGATTCGGGCCGTTTCGGAGGCCCTTGATGAGGGGGATACGGGTGAGCTTCAGAATCACCCCAAACCCAAAACCCTAAAGCCCAAACCCGCTCCTGAAGCCCAAAACCTCCTAAACCCCAACCCACCAACTCCTGGAACAAAGCGCTTCCACTGTCCCTTCACTAAGAGATATCTTTCACTAAGAGATATCTCTTCACTCGTGTTACGATGTCCCTTCACTAAGAGATATCTCTTCACTCGTATTGCGATACTGCACTAATTAACCGCGTTAATTCAACTAAACCTAGCATGGCTCCTCAAATCCTCTGGACATTCTCCTAGATAGGATGCACTGGCATCCAATGAACGCAAACACAAATTGTCCACAAAAAGATATCTGACAAATATGCTAAGTTACAACCATCATCATGTACAAAACTACAATAATACTGGAAACACAACAATATTAGTCACAGCAATACTGACAACACTGGTAGTAAAGTCATCGTCGTAATTATGGTAACAATTGAAACCATCAACCCTTAACCCTTAACCCGAGATAGAAATAGCAGTAGTAAACATGAACAAACCCCAATGT